AGAAAGTGCGCTGCACCAACTGAGAATGCAACCATTTTGGACCCCAATCGAACCGAGTCATCACAGGATCAGATGTGAAAACACCCTAAATCTGTGGTCGAGCTCTTACAAACAAGCAACGTCAGACGTTTCCTGGGAAAATCCTGCACTACCTGCTCTGAATTTAGTCAATTTTGCTCAGCCATGAGCAATTCCACAGCTGCCTCCTTTTGCTCATTGCTCAGTATATATTCTCAGCCGGCAATTCTAATAGTAAGTAAAAAAAGGACCAAAACTTAAAGTGCATTCCTACTTATCTGTTGGATCTATTTGATGTGATTCTGTTTCAGCATCAAGTCATCCATTCATCCAATATCCATTGTGCAGTTTAACATGAGTTCCTAGAAGGATTTTATCACATTGAGCTTGCGCAGTGTGATATATTCAAGACCAGTATGATTTTTGAACCGATACGACTTGTGTCAGCCTTGTAGAACATCAAACAGGATTTTTTTCACAGGATTTGTCTCACAGAAAACATAAACCCATACTTTATATGTTTCAATGCCAAAAGCTTTAACCACAGCAAAATAATCAAAAACTCTTCTGGTCAAACACAGTTCACCATTTGGAAAAAAAACAATCTAATATGTAGGTCAGACAAAAGTGACCAAAATTGAGCACATAAGAAATTGGATATTATCTTGTGAGCAACTTTTTAATTCTGGAGCCATTTGTTGTTTTCTATTATGCATAAAACACTTTCTAGCAACCTGAACTTCACCCGCAGGTGTAGATGAAAAACTCATCTCATCCTTGTGCTGCACTGGATAATGATGTAATAGATAACTGTCCCTCCATCCTGCCTGCCTGCTGACATGCAAGACTCTAGAGGCATTTTCCTCATTGTCTCTCTGCCTCTAATCCCAGTCACCTGTCTCTCTGAGATGCTGGAGGAAGGAAAAACGGACAGGATGTGCTTTTCTCGCAGAGAAGGAACTCGATGCTGACTTGATAGGGGTTGGAAGGAGGCTTTGGGCTTAGGAGGCGAGAAGGTTTGTCTTTATTTGGAGTTATTGATGCCATCGATACAAGCAAATTCCACAAGTAAAATGGTTTCCGGATGGAAGAAGGGAATTGGAAGTTTGATGACACTCTCTGCCGGGAGAGAAGCAATTACGCACAGCAATGAGAGCGCAATTATCGGAAATGGGCTCATGAAAGAGACACAAAATAGTTCAGCAGTTTAAAATATGACAAAGAGCATTTCTTGTGGGTTTTGACAGTAAATAAACACAATTTCAACAGTTATTAAGTTCCCCCCTCGAGGTAAAAAAATGCTTTCTTCGCGTTTTGTCTGCTCACTTTCTCCAAAGAGTAAACCTGTCATTTAACTGGTAAACGGAATTTGTGGCGCGTTAAAAAAAAAAAAAAAAGTTCCCAGTAGACTGAATGCGCTTTTCTTCGAGATGAAATCCATTTGTAGAAATGAAGAGGAATCGTGTCAGAACCAGGCTGACACTCGTCGTAAATCGTTTCTGACAGCTCCTAATGGAGTGTTATTGCTGTCACGCACAGCGCGCAACCCCACCGGCTGTACCCGGAGACACGGCGCTTTACGAGCGGTCTGCAGAAGTGAAAGGTCCGAGGGAAGCAGTGGGGAGAAATCTGGCATTAACTCAAAGCAACACTGAGGTTTGAGGCGTAAAGAGGATCTACAACCTCAGTTCTGGACGGTTTACAAACTCCGGGACAAACATGCAAATAGCTCCACAGAAACAACATCAGAACCAGCACAGCGCCTGGGTACGCAGTTGTCAGAACTGCCCGAGCAAAGCACAGGAAGAGGCAAATGTGAAATGCAGACACAAGCTGTTGAGAAGAGACTTACCCTAGCAGTGTATCCACATCTGTTTGGTGAGACTGGATGTTCGGAGCTCACTTTGCTGCATTCAAAGCCTAGAGATGATTTTTAATGAAGACGAACAGTAACTCCGCCGACTGCGGTGGCCACCAATCAAAATATTTCTTCCTACTTGATGTACAATGTAACTATTTAGTTATGGCAAATGGTGCCTAATCTGTCCTGAGTGGCATTGCTCGCATGACTGACACGGAGGCGCAGCCAATGAGCGCCAGTTGGCTACGAAGCTTCGACCAATCGCGTTGTGAGCGTGGAGTCAGTGGAAGGTGAGCCGAGAAGTAGGAAGAGCTGCTGGCGACATCATGTGTTCGCAGTTTATATCCATCCGCTTGTCATGTTTTGAGAGCAAGGACTTCACTTTCGCTACTTCTTCTTCAGAAATTCGCAGGAAGCGAATTTCTGGTGAACTTTATTTATGAAAAGTGAAGCCCACTTGATTTATACAAACACCCCAACCACTGTGGGCTGCAGATATTTAGTTTGTCCACTGCTTATAGGTCGCTTTACTGGTACGTTTGCCAAATACAGCAGATTGAGTGGTAAAAAAATCACTAACGCTGGATTTTTTTTCGAAAATTTCGGCCATTATTATGTGCCTTCGCCATTGTTACTTTTATGTCCCATATGCTGTAAATAAGTGATACAATGTTAACGTCAAATTGCCAAAGTGGCCACTGGAATACTTAGAAAGAAAAGGCGAGAGTCTGCTGTCCTACTTTCGCTGCTCGCGGCGGAAGAACACAGTGTTTACAGTGAGGAGTAACAGGGATGTCATTGTGACAGGCGCGTGTGACATCGTGAGAGCAGCAACACCTGGACAAAAGTGGCTGTTACTGGAGACCCAAAGTTTTTAGAAAACCTCAGATAATATCTCTTTTTAACCGGCTCAGTATCTCTACTTTAAACGGGATGTGTGTTATCTGTCTGCTTTTCATTAAGTCAGCTTTAAAAATGAAAATGTGTAAAAAACAGTGCAGATACTTAAATACACTGTAAAAAAAATTCTGTTGTTTTTACAGAAAAAATCTGGCAGCTGTGGTTGCCAGAATAATTTTGTAGAAAACACAGTGAACATGTAAACTGTTTTACAGACCAAACAGTAATTACAACAGTGTTAAATTGTGAAATAAACAGATTTTCCCATAGTTTTATACAAATTTGAACTGTGATTTGAAAAGGTTTATTTTGGTAATAAGACAGTTTTATCAAGTAATTTTAACCAACTTTTTCTGATGAATTATCATTATAATGCTGTTATTTTACACTTTTTTTCCAGTAAGATTTACCCATTTTTTGTTTGTTGTACAAAAAAAGTTCATTTAGTCCTACTGATAAATTACCTTTGAATAACAGATTATAACTGTAAAAATGTCAATTTAAAACATTTTATTAATACTTTCTGAAAAACTGAAATTTGCTTTAATTTTTTTGTAATAATTCTATTTTTAAATATTTATAAGCATCAAATTTCAACCAACATTTCCCACTTAAATGAAAATTTAAAACACAAGGAAGCCCAGTATAAATTGTATCTATGATAATCTTAAAAAAATAAACATACACTTACATGCCTTTGAAATATTTATTTTTAATGAAGTTCTCATTTGTCTTTTCTGAACATCATGAAGCACATGAAACAAATGCACCTGCTGAATAGATGTACATTTCTTCAACCTTTTTAACTTATCAGAAACAGTATGAGAGCCAACTTTCACACCCTTTTTTTGGAGAGGGGGCTTGAAGATTATAACATACAATAAATTTCTATTTCCAGTATACATTTTAATAATAATGTTTGTTTGCTTCAAATTTTTTTCTTTTTAGAAGCAATTCTATTTCCAAATATCTATGAATAATCAAATTTCAACAAACATTTACCAGTTAAATGGAAATTTAAAACACAAGGAAGCCCAATATAAACTATATCAATAATGATAATTCTAAAATTTTTTAGAAACAAACATTTTAATTGAAAACATATTTACAATGAAATTCTCATTTGTGCTTTCTGACATGGTGCAAAATTCAGCCACTGAACAAATATAAATATGTCTTTTCAACTTTTTAACTTCAGAAGGCACGGTGTGAGATGCAACATACATTTAGAAATCTATTCAGCTCTGTTAAGATTAAACACCGCCTTGAGAACTCACTGACTTTAGTCCTTTCTCAAACATCACGCCACTCATGATCTGAAAGTTCCTGGATCAAGGTGAGTACACGGGGGTTCACACGCAGTCTGGGTTTACGGGTTTCTTCCACCTTACTGCCCTTGTCTGGGTTGATTGAGAAGAAACACCTTACGATAAAGAGGACAAACAGAAAACTACATCAAAATGTGCTTCACAATCAAACATTTTATTCAAGACATAAAAGTTGTCAAAAGTCAAATTTAACTCCCTACAATTTAAAAAAAAACAAAAACAAAAGCTCATACCTCTGCAGAAACTCCAGTGTAGACGCCAGCCCCGATGGATAATGTATGTTAAAACAATAATAGCTCCCAAACATCATGCAGAGGGCAGAAATAAAACAGGAGATGTTGTTGTTTCCAATCTGTTGATCCACACTCAGCATGAATCGTTTAGCATGGAAGCAGGATTGACCTAAGGAGAAAGAACAAATAAATTTAGACTCCTGATACAACAAAACAATGACATTCATATGAAAAATAACAAATTAAGTAAAAAGTACAAAAAAAATATTAGTATAGTAAAAGCATAAGAAAATAATTGGAAAAAAACAAAACAATATTAAACAAAATGCCAGATGGACAAAAGCGCAAAGAAAGGGGACAAGACAACAAAAAGAAAACAGGGCAAAGAAACTGGAAAAACAAAAATGAACTCACCACACACAATGATAGTGGGAGTCGAGGAGACGTTCTCCATCTGTACTTCTTCAGCCAGGCATGTGTCCTCCACACAGAAGAACATTGCTTCTTCATTTTCATTGAAGTAGCAGAGAAGTAGGAGCATCATCTCTTTAACATCTTCAGAGTAACCGTCCAGTTCTCCCCTTAACATCTTCAACTTTGTCTGAGCCTGGAAAAACCTTTTGTTTTGTTCACACAAACAGTGTTCATGTAGTTCAGCAGTCTTTTTCCCTTCATATCAATGTTCCTCATGAAGGTTTCCTTCAATCCAAGTCCAGTAAGTTCCTTGTAGTGTACAGCCATCCCAATGTCATGAAATAAAACAGGCCAGGCTTCCAAGACATCTTGAATACTTTTCCCCTGGTTAATATCTTTGCGCTGTGAGTAGAAAGTTGTCCTCAGTAATTCTTTCATCTCCTCAGGATTGGCCTCCTTCTGCAGAGACATCATCTTGAGCTTGTCCTTCTTCTGTTGCTGACTTTCAGCAGTTTCTCCAAGAGGAAGGAATTTTACATTCCAGTTGATACACCCATAGGTGTCCTGAATTGCAGCTCTCTGTTCCTGAGGAATTTCATCTGTGTCAGAGTTTTCAGAGCAGCGCTTTCGCTTTCTTATTTTAGGCATTGTAGATCGCTTCGCATTGTCAATTCGATATTGAAGTTGTTTGACGAGTGAATGATAGCCAGGGCCAATGACATCTCCATCGATAACGTCTTGTAGAGATTTTGGATATTTTGCCACCATCTTCTTTGCAACCTCTGTAGAACTTCTTTTACCCAAGTAAGAACTTTTTCGCATCATTTCAGACACCACAATCCTGACCATCTCCTTCCTCATTTTTGGACTTGGGCGTTTACCTCTCTCTAATGCCTGCATCAGTTCTTCTGAGAACTTTTCCATGGTATCTCAAAGGTGTCCACCCAGTCTGCTGCAGATGTCTGGTTGCTGCTGGAGGAGTTTGATGACACACTTAGCGGGGACGAAGACTGCTGTGATGGAGGAGTATCTGGTGATGCATTACTTGAGGACCTGCTGGTTTCAGGGGTCCGGCCTTCAAAAACACAAAACAACCAATAAGTTATCAAAACTGAATAAGAATATCGGTGTTTAATGGTTGACTTTTGCTTTTCTAGAATTGTACTTACATCTTAATTTCCAAGCAGCAAGTGCCTTTCTGGCTTGAATTGGTCTTAATGCTGACAGCAAGTCCTTCTCAACAATGAACTGGAAGTCATCATACGTTTCTACTCCAATTGACTGTAAAGTCTCCTCGAGAATGTATTTTGAAGCCTCTGCAAGTTCGGGCAACACTTCATTGATAGCACTGCGTAAAAATGTTTGCTCAGCCATTTCTGGAATAAATCAGACAAATAATGGTAAAAAAAACGAGATCACCGTAATATAACATGTATTCAACTATGTACAAATTAAAGAGACTCATACTTAGTGTCAAACAAATGTGTGCCTGATTCACACTTTTTATTCATGTACATCCTTAAATTTTTAGTCAAACTTCTTTCCCTGTTTTTTCTTAATTATTTTTGTTCACATCAACATATCTGTTTTAAGTGGACTTTCCATGATGGTATATGAAGACATTTTTATTTTGAAAACACACTGTGTTTCAGAGGAACAACTTGTTGTCCATTTACCTGATAACAGGTCAAAGGGTAAAAGTCAACCAAGTCATTTATGTTAATACACAAAATGCTTGAAGTCTGTTTTGTCACTGAATACAGATGGTAATCAGGATGATAGACAGCTGTTTGTACATCCATAACACAATACACATCAGTTTCATTTTGAATCAGAATTAAAACCAGCTCTCCAAACTCCATATACTCATCATTCTTTGAAACCAAGAAATGCCCCTTTTTATAAACTGTTCCCTTATATTGTATCTCTGTGGAAATACTTGTGTCTTTTTCAGAAAATCCCAGGTCTTTTACTGCGTGTTTTATTTCATCACTGTAGAGGCTTGAGTAAAAAACACAACTGTCCTTGACCAGCAGCAGCTGATTGCATCTAGGGCCAGCTGAGATGTAAGCCTGAAACATCTGGTGTCTTTCTGATAGTGTCAAGCATATGTTTTTAAAATTTTTCAAATGCCTTGCACATCTTTTAAAGTAGACATGTTTACTCTCAAAACGCATTGTCCACAACCTAATCAAAGGTCCAAATTTCAAAATTAGGGCTGGATAGTGCCGCAAAAAATGATGTTTTGGTTTAAGTGAAGTTTCAGGAAATAAAGATTTTCTTGATTCCAAATATTCTTGGATTATTATTTCAAGAAAGGCACCTGTGGCAAAGAAATTTGTTGTGCACAAATCAAATCCACAATGTCTTTGAGCTGGAGCGTTGTCTGCCAAACATTATCTTGTGGATTTTGTATCTTGTCACCAATAATCACTGGCAACAATCTCAGCAAGTTCCAGTTTTGAACAGCTTGACCTGAAAGCCTGATTGCCTCAGAGTTGACAGGGCATGGCTTTGTGAGAGCATCTGATCCTTTGTACTTGAATTGCTTGATTCTACGGTTGAACTGGGAATATGTAAACCATTTCCTTGTTTTAACGAAATATTTCAAGTACAGTGCAAGATCATAGGATACGACACCCTCAAATAAGTCATGGCCTAAGCAAGGTGGAAGACCAGGTTGGCAAACATGAAAAGACTTTAGTGAGTTGAAGTCAGAGTTTACCTTGACACCTTTGTTGTCTTGAATGCTTCCAATCTCTCGATGATGCACTGCCAAATTGTAAGCTGCAGGGGTTCGCTGTGGACCACAAGCATTTGGATCATTAAGAAAGTCTTTTCTTGTGATTTCACAGTATCTACAAAAGTACTGAGAAGTACTAAAGTTTTCAGTAAACCCACCAATGCTGTGTGATCCTAAATTGTCACCAGCAATACAGAACAGTGCTCCTTTGACTGTTTCTTCACCTGCAATAATGCCATGTTCCTCTAAATCTCTCAAATCCATGAGAAGTTCAGAGCAAACCTTTGCAGTTCCAAACTGTTTTAAATCGTTCTCGAAACACAATGAAACTAGAGACATGTGATCAGTGCTTGACCGCACATGAGCAGGTAAGTTAGCCACAGATAGATAAATAGCGACAACTTTGTGTTTCTTCTTTGCTGAACCAAGGGGGTTAACAATTTCAAAGGCATCTTGGTAGAGAATAAGCTTCAGGCACCCAGGATTTTCAATGAAGAACTGGTTGCACTTGAAGTTTTGGCCATCACTTATGTCACAGAAAACATCCGGGTGTGAGTCATTGGACTGTTCCAACACTGAATTCTTCCATAAGTCTGATTCTAAAAGTGCACTTAGTGTCTGTTTAATGGGTATGTAGTAAGAAAATCTCTGGGTCATGTTTTCATCACTTCCTAAAGATATTTGCTTTGGTTCTGTGTATTTGAACATGTTTTTGAAAGTCTGAGTTCTTGAATATGTTGTTCTCAGTGGCCCATGATGACAAACAGAAAATAAATCAGAATCTCTTACACAATCACAGATTTTAGCAACAGCATCATCTACAAGACACATGTCATCTTTTAAAAGCGACTTTAGTTTAGTTAAAGTGTAATCCATTCCAGCTCATGCACATTTTGCATCTCTTCAACAATGTTCTGTATCATGGAAGCTGGAAGAAGCAGCTGTCCTTGAAGTTTCATGTAGAAAAGACCCAAGTTTCTGAGATAATCCTTGTTGAAATTTGGAGATAATTCGTGACTTTCATTAGTCAGAGCATCATTAAAGCTCTCAGAAGGCCATCGTTTTCTGATAGACTAACGATCTTATTTGTAGTTTCCTTGTACAAAACATCAATGTCATCCACAAAAATATCTCTATGTTTACGGGACATATGAGCTGTGAATGATGATTTGACGCTGAAAACTTTTTTGCAGGCTTTTACTGGACATGCTACAGGCCGCCCCTCCATTATATGCTCCTTCAAATGAGCAACGAATTCTTTCACAGTTTGGCTTTGGTGCCCACACAATGAAATGGTGCATTTCAATTTAGCAACAATGGCTTTAGCTGATTTGGGTTGTGAAGCCACATTGTGAACTCGGTAAAAATGAGTTTTAAACGCTGCATATGTACAAAATGTCCGCTTACATTCTGTGCCGAGGCATTTGAATACACAACTGGGCTCGTTTCTGTGCACTCTGCAATGCAACACATAGCCCCTCAATGATTCTAGTGTTTTACAGCAAAACGTACATGTAATCATGTTTAAACAATTTCAACCTATCTAACAAGTTACACATGTTGCAGGTGTAGCAAAAAATTATTCTACTGCATATTGTTCCAAGAAGCAATATGACGCCTAAAAAACAACAACAACAAAAAAACACAAATTACCGTGGCTTTTACGTTAGAAGAAAATAAAGCTTAACTTACATTTGCTGAAAGCTGACGAGGTCCAAACAGCGTTCTTTTCTTTGTCAAGGTTTGAGCACAATTCAGCTTCTTCTGAGATGAGAACCGTTGGACGAACTTTTTCAAAACAGCTTTCAGGCGCCAGGTAAGCGAACCAATTAGAGAGCAGAACAGACCGGAACTTGAGCACAAAGCGGTGATCTCTGTCTTTCTTGCAGTAGCCGAACTTTGAGCTTATAATGGCAACGGTGAAGGTAAAAAATCCAGTGTTAGCAAAAATAATAAATAAAAATAAAATACATGTACCAATAAGCAAGTACATGAATTCTTTTTTGATTCAGGTGTTTCCTCCACGTTAGTCGTGAAATATGAAGAAATTATCCAATCAAAATTGACAAATAATAAGTAAATGAATTAAAGAGGAAATGACAATCTAAAGAAGTGGGAAAACACAAGTGAATAGATAAATAGTGAACAAAATTGGAAGTAAATAATGTGGAATCATAATTACTTAATTCCACATTAATTTCCAAATCTATTAATTTATTCATTTATTTTATTGTCCATCTGGAGTTGGGTCACAGGGGCAACAGCTTAAACAAGGAAGCCCAAACTTACTTCTCCCTAGCAAAAAAAAGCTAAGCTAGCTTCCAATTCATTGGATTTAATCATCACAGAATGTAAATGTTAGTTTTACACTGCTGAAATGTAAGAATGTTGTGAAGGATACAACTTTTTTCATTAACAATAAAAAATGTGTATTTTCTACAACTAAATACAATATTATTTACAATTTTCTATTTTAAAGTGTACAATAATTTTCGGTTCTACATTATACAATATCATACTGGTAAATGAACAAAATATTATTGTGTTTTTCTTTACAAAATTTTTCTGTCATGATTTCACAGATTTTTACTGTTGATTTTACAGACTTTTTTTACAGTGTAGTTAAAGTAGTAATTTTAAAAGTACTCCTAAAATCAACCTAGAGTTCCTCATAGAGCTAGATAGCATTTAAGTAGTTTTGTTTTTTTTATTTATGAAAAGCAATAAATAAAACAACATATATTTGACACACTTTTATTGAAAATGTAAATATACTAACATAATTAAAAATAAAAAGTAAGTACTCTGTGAAAAAACAATGTTTTTAAAATAATATTCAAAGATAAAATATAATAACTAAAGATATTGTACATTTTAACTACAATAAACAATGAAGAGCACATAAGTTCAGAATACATGTAAGTCTGAATAACAAAAATAATCAAAGAAATAAAAAAATGAAATATATAGTAAAATAACCCTGTGAAAATAAAATGAATTAAAAAAGGAAAACAGTGCAAGTTTTACATAATCTTTTACTATTTAATACAAATGGAGGAAAAAAGTATTAATTATATTTTAATGCTGTTCTTATTTACTTTGAAACTTTGAAAACTTTCACTGAGCTAAATTAATCTGAAATGTTCTTACAAACATAACAATTGTTCTTGCCATAAAAGCATGTCTCTATGGTGCAGTGGTGTGCCAGCCACAGCTGCTTTGGAGATTTGTATGGAAACTGATCCGGTCAAACCTAAAAAGGAAGTTAAATTCAACTCAAGTGACACTGGGGGAATGTTGTGAAAGCCCAGAACATGTCCAATTTTTTATCAGTTCTATTAATGACATGTACAGTTTGTACAAAAATGCCCTCTAAATACACTATAATTTCCAAAATATTGCATATAACATTTGTCATCTGCTTGCTCATGGTGAACCAATAGATGCACAGCTGCTTTCTCAAACCTTTTCTACAAATAAAAAAAACAAAATATTTAATTGAGATTTTAAACAATACATCTCAAAAATCTGAACTGTGAACTGTGTGACCTGCATTTGCATTCAGTCCAAGTCATGGTTTTTAATGGACAACCTTGCTCACAGCCCAGAGCGCCATTATTTCTGGCAATGCCATAAACACAAAGGGAAAAAAAGTTGTCTCAGTAGGGCCAAAATCTGATTTCCATTTCTTACTGTTATCTGTTTTAAGTAAAGTGGGGACAGTGATGGATTTAGAAGTTTCTTATAGAACTTTGGAAACCCTAACCCTTTCAGATTTTCATTTGAAACCATCAAACATTTTCCTTCCATTTCACAATTATACACTTCATTGCATAGGTTCATCACATAAAATCTCATTTAAATAAAGTCAAGTATGTGATTTTAACGTGACATTAAACATAGAACTCATGGGTTGTGGATACTTTTGCAGCAGTTTGTTACAGAAGACTAAAACAGAAGGTTAAAAAAATAAAATGAAATAAACTGGCATGTTCTCCAGAATTAAAACATGTGATAACAGCAGGACACAGCAGGGAGCAGACAGCTAACTCCATTCACAGTGTGCAATGTGAAGCTTTTTCTGTCCAGAGGGTCTGTGGAAATCAGCCCTCTCATTTGTCATTGTCTCACTAACTGTATCTACTATAAAAACTGAGAAGAGGACAGATATATTTCCCCAGTTTGAGAATCAACTCTACTGTTAATCTGATTATTGTGTCTGCGAACACAACGTAACGTGTCTTATCTGATTTGCTGATCAAGCAGCAGCCAAACCAAAGTAGTGAATTAACTGGTAGTCCTAGTGATAATGGTGACAAAAGCTCAGACACAGGGGGGAGTGACGGCGAGAGATTACACCGTGTTTTCTGCTTTACATAAGAAGCTTATACCGTTGGATTTTTCTGTGGAGAATTGCAGCAGTCAGATGGGCGCCCTGCTGTTCTCCTCTCCTACAGCTGGGTTGTCAGGGGGTCAGCCGCTCAGCTAAGGGTCAGGGAAATGCCATGGGAAAAATGACAGCAAACAATCTCAGACACATCACTAACTGGAGGGAAGCTGGAGAACGTAGCAGCAACACAAACTCATGGGAGCAAATTTAAGAAAATCCTAATTGTAATTAATTAAAAGGAAATTATATAGTCTACCTTTATTGTTGTACGGAGACAAGTTGATTCACCTTTGCCCTCAAAATAACGCACACCACAGACGTTTCACTCACGGCAATCAATAACAGTTTGCTGCCCCCTGTTGAAACTAAAGCCTCCTATGGCTCAGTGAACAGCAGTTAATGATATATATTATTACTTCAGGTCTTAATTAAATCTCGAAGCTGATTAAGCAGAAGCAAGCCTACGTAATTGCATTGCTGAGAAAATATTATTTTTTATTATGTGCTTTGTGTTTTGATACGGTGAAGTGTAAAGTCAGAGCTTGACCCAGAGGGTTGATTAATTTGGCCTTTCTGAAAGATTGGATGCTGGGGGATTAATAAACAGCACACTGCTTCAGTATTACCTGTCATAATGTTCACACTGATACCTCTTCATACTCTCCTTTGGTCAGGGTCTATCTATAAAGCTGATGCAAAGCAGTTTATATGGGAAGTACAGCATTTAGCTTTCAGACTTTTCATGTGGTAGAGTTTCTGTTGTATCCATTAAACAAAAGCATACATTAATATGCTGCTCAGATATGAAATGCATATTTTTATATACAGATCTGCATTTACATGAATAAAACAATAAATTTATCAGATTTTATATGGAAAAAGAAAAACTGTCAAACAGGATAAAAATGAAAAATAAAGTACTCTCAAAAAGTATTCATACTGTTTAAACTCACTTATGTGGCAGATTGACAGGAAGTAGTCAAGTTTAAGTAAAGTTTATTTGTATGCCACGTTTCAGCAACAACACAGTTCACGATGCTTCATAAAAATAACTTACAGTCATCAATCACGTTGTTACAAATAAAATTTGAAAAGTATGGATTTGGATTTGTAGAACCATCTTTTGCAGCTGTCAATCATTCATTCTAGGGGTTTTGTCAACAACCGACCAATTAGTGGTCCCTATTTGTCCCAAAGTACACGCCTCATATCTGAAGGAACTGAACCTCCATCAACATTGCTGGATTCATCATCTCTAACACAATGTGGTCATAAAGAATTGGAGAAAAATAATAGGAAATCATGGTCCAGTGTTGTCAATGGGGAACATGCAATTCAGGCAGCTGCTCCTCAGAGGGCGATATGCAATTTATTATGTTTCCAAAACCCAAACAGAGTCTGGAATAATGCAAGAAATTGATCAAGGCCTGCAGTTGACCTCATGTCCTGTTCAGTGAGATTGTGATCATTGACAA